CGGCTAATACAAAATTTGCATGCACAACACAAAAAAAGGTCACGGTTACTCAGCGCAAACTGCTGTTGTGCATCAGAAGTATCGTTAAGTAGAATTTCACTGGCATGCTTTTCCTGCTCCTCGATGTAATCATAAGGAAACACAAAGACTAAACTCGCCCAACAGATGTGCTTCAAATGCAGCTAACTGGATGTCTGTAGTTGATTGCCTATTCAGTAGCTAATTAGCGAAGCGCCGACAGTAACTGTGGACGCTCAGGAAATCCACTCCCTTAAGACAACCCGTAGCTAATACCTAATACCTACAATTAGCGTGGTCCCAAAAAGGCCGCACAATCCCTGGCCACTGGCCGACGCTCTCACTACACAGATAGGACACACTTCTCACAGTAGGTTCTCCGTGGAGGACGCTTCCAAGCAACCTACAAGATGGTGAAAATACAAAAAAAAACATTCATAAACCAAAAGATCCCGTGAGACATGCACACGACTCACGCCCAATTCCAAACGGCTGCGCCCGTGTCTTTCTTTCATTTGGTTAAAAAACCTCAAAACGTAAAAGTATTGAGTTGTTCTTCCCCAGCAAGTGTTGTAAAAATGCTTCATGAGAGCATTTCCCGGGGAGACAATGCGTTATTACCCACCCTAGGGGGTGCTGGAAATTTCTGGTAGATTCCTATAGAAAGTGCACTACGTTGATAACTCCTAAAGGTAAGTGCGAAAGGGAGGTTTGTGTTCTTTAGTGTTTGCATTCAACTCACCGTTACTTATGAATATTGGTGTGGGATAACTGATATTTATTTAATCTTCAGTGTTATCACTGAAGAGAAGTTTTGCTACCTGGATAGCTACGTCTCACCTGACGGGCGCATCGTGGATGATGTGTCAGTATGCATACATAAGTCTCGATTGGCGTTTGTTGTTTTGAGACATCTGTGACGCAATTCGGTTATCTCTGAAGGGTTGTCTACGGATATGAAAGCTGGGTCATATAGGTCGCGTTTGGCTTCCTGAGTGGGAGTGTTAGATCAAATAAACCTATATTTTAGGATATTGATGTGACTGCATCTTAAACAGAGAGGTACTTGTGCATCTACTCGATATCTTTGTAACCTTAGTCTATTTGAGTATTTTATCTTCTCATAGATACTGCTTTCATCATTCTACTTCTTCTTTTCACTCCTTCATCTTAAGGTTAGCCGGAAGGTAACAACCAAAACCGCCACGCGAGAGCGCAGACCTACGAAAAAGCTTGGTGTCAACGAAAAATTAACAATAATGGAAAAAGTAGCATTTGGGTTGCGTAAGCTAATGACGGGGAAACTAGCCAATGACAAAAAAAACGAAAGAACGAGAACAATAATGTTATTTTTCATGGTATTAATGAGATCTCCGTTCGGTTGCTTCTTTTATTGGCATAAAACACTTTTTCAGAGAGCTCAACTGCAATAATGATGAGGAAATGCAGGTTGGGTAGACATCTTCAAACTTTTTATCTTTTCTTACTTCAAACTATTTCCATAGACCGACTGCAACCACCGAAAGGATTATGCAACTATCACGTCAGTTAAATGGGATTTTGGAATCGTCAGAACAACTGGTTACCACCTTTGGATCATCTCTGTCCACAACCGTACAATCTACGTCGCTCTTCTCCTCGTCCACATCCGTTCCTTTTGGTGTTCCACAGTCCTACACGGCCAGCGTTAATAGCACCAATTTGGAAACATTTGATGGTCCCACCCCGGGTGGCCGTTCCAGTCCACTGACTGGTCAGAGCAGTCCCGGTTCTAGTACCATCGCTCAACAGGACACATTCACCAATCAGACTCCGCTATTCAAACGATCAGTGACACCGAATTCCACTCATAGCGCAACATATGCATCATCTTATGTTCGTGAGCTGGAGGTAAGTTTCAGATATTGGCGTCTAGTCACACATCACACACACACACATTGGTTTCACGCCCAATTATCATTAAATGGGATGTGGCTTGAGTGAATCCCATTGGTCAAATTATCCAAAACTGTATATCAAATGAGCACACTCATTTTGCACAAATATGATTCCAGGTTTCATACCACGCAGATTCTGATGGAATCACCTTTCGGACAATAAAATGAATCCAAGGTTTGCCGAGTTTTGAAGCCTAGACGAACTAAACCAAGCTGAAAAACTTGTATTGCGCTTACATTTGTCGTGATTTATGGACCCAAGATTTATGTGTAAATGCATTGCTGCCGGGTTTTCCCAGCCGAGGCATATAATTTTCTCGGGATGGTTCAATC